GGCGCTGTGCAGGAACGACCACGGCCACGTCTGGATGGGCAGGAGGGAAGCGGCCACGGGAGAAGGCTCCATTTCTGCCACGTAATTATTGAGGTGGGAGAGGAGTCGCAGCCGGATGGGGTCAGCGGCGTTCTGGCCCTCGAGGATGCCCAGGTACCTGACAACCTCGGTGAGACACTCACGGAAGCCGATACTCCTGTAATCCACGGCCAGAGCTCGGGCATCTAAGAAGCCTGTAGAGAGGGGACCCGGGTGAGAGTAAGTCCATGCAGAGCTCAGGAATGTGCTTTGATTTCACTACCCTCTCTAACACACTGTGTATTTCACTTGAGGCACTTTGCTGCCCTGTGATATTACTGCAGCAGATAGCCAAGTGGGTGTCCGAAAGGACTGGACGTTTGGGTGTGTGAGAAGCACATCTGCACTTATCTCAGCAGGATGGAACTGCCAGGGTCATGAAACCTCTTACTCCAGCATGTGAGACAAGTAAGAGGTTTCATTAACTGTGCTTAGGAAGGAAGAAATTATTCCTGTGGGACTCTATCAGTTATTGCTGCTGGAGGCAGGACTGTGGGCTAGATGGGCACCAAGTCCTTCTTTGAAAATGTCCTGTCCCTGGTCTCACAGAACAGCAGAACAGTGTCTCCTTGGTGCACAGCTTCACACCACATTCCTCTGCCTGGGTCCCAGCCTTTAGACCTCATTTAAACAGAGGAAGTACACACCAGACAGCAGCAGAACCAAAACCGCTGGGCCAAGAAATCTCAAAGGCACAAAAATCAACGAGGTAAAATGCAACCAGTGGCTGATTTTTAAGCTTCTGCTCCTGACTTGCAGCTTTGTGAGACGATAAGCAATAAAGCAGAGAATGTCACAGCACAGTGAAGTGCTGGACCACTCTGCTTGACAGGGTCTCTGGTGACAATACAGCCCTTTGTTGCAGTGCAGTCAAACTGAATATCTAAACAAATGTTCCAGACCAAGTTACAGCTCTGAAGCAAAGCCTGGATGCCAGCAATGTCCCCAGCAAGCCAAAAATGGGTGGTAAGCAAGCCAGAGGCTTCTTTACTGGAGCTGTGATCTCCATCCTGTTAACTGGAACAGGACAGAGGGTCTGTACTGAGGTCTCAGTACAAATAGGACCTTTGTTGAATTTTGCACAGGGCTCCCTCTCTCTTCTATAACAACCAAGAGACACACACACAAAAAAAGAACAGAAGGGGAAAAAAAGCCTTGTTTATTTGCAGAGTCCCCATGCAGAATTCAGCCTCTGCAGGAAATGTATCCCAGGGAGGAGGTAAAAAGTTTAATATCATTTTTCTGAAGCAGGCTCCATGTCTGAGCAGGACTAAGCACATCTCTGGCTGGGCAGCTTTTAGCTGGGGGTGTGACAACGTCCCTGCAAGGTCCCACTTGTCGTCCCACATATCCCAACCTGCCAGATGGATGCATGGGATGCTGACCCACATGAAAGACAACACGTCAGAAAACATCCATCTGTTCTCTCAAAAAATTTTTGGGAAGCAGGCAGGGCAGCATCTGCACTGGTGCTGGCTGGTGTCAGCAGGGCACACTAGTTTGCTGCTGAGGCTGATGGAGAATTTTCCTTCCAGGTTTTTCACCTTCACCTCACTTGTAGGCTTATAAAAGAGGTTCTCACCTGCTCCTCCAGTGGCGTGAAGCATTTTTAAGTGATCTACTGTCATTTGTAGGATTTCTGCCTTCTCCAGCTTGGAAGACCCCTGTGTGTTGGGAGCAGGAAAAAAGAGCAATTCATCATCTTATGGCCTAGGGTTTTGTGCCTCTCAGGAGCTGGGTTTTGCCCAATGACCTTCTCCCAAGAACCTTCCTGAAGCCCAGGGGCGCTTCAGATTGGAACAGGGCATCCATCTGGGGAATCAGCTCTGTTTTTTCCATCAAGTGAGTGGAAAAAGGAGCTCCTTCCCAAGATGCAAATTGAAAATCCTCATTTCTCTCCATCTTCATATCTGCAAAACACTTTCTGGATTGAATTTATTCTCCCCGGGGCTCCTGAATATTCGTTAATATCGGTTTACCACCCAGTTTCCCCACCCCCTTCCTCCCTGAAGTGATGGTGATAAGAAAGATGCAGCTTTGCTCCAGAGTTTCTCATTCTGAGGGCCCTTAAGGCAGCCCTCACAGGAGGGTGGGTGGAGATCAGGGCCCCACATACCTGCTTCTCAAAGGCAGTGGGCACCAGGCGCCGCAGCTCGGACAGGCTGCTGTTGATGCGGTCGCGGCGACGCTTCTCGATGATCTGCAGGAGATTTCCCAGTGGAGAGAAGAAACCACAGTCACTTACAGCCCCAGCCCCTGGGCCTAAAGCCCTCGTTAGCAGCCAGGGCAGGTTGAGAGAGACGCTTTGAACAAGGCCACATAAGTAAATGTTTTGGCTGCAAAAGCTGAGCAAAGAAACTGGAGAATTGTGTCTATATCTGGAGTCCTCGGCACAAGGACATGAGCCTGTTGGAGCAGGCCTGGAGGAGGTCACAGAATAATGTGAGGGTTGGAACTCTTCTGCTGCAAGGCCAGGCTGAGAGAGTTGGGGTTGTTCAGCCTGGAGAAGAGAAGGCTCCAAGGAGACCTTCTTGGGGTCTTTTGGGACTTAAAGGGGCCTGTCAGAAAGCTGGGGACAGACTTGTTAGCAGGGCCTGTTGGGGCAGGACAAGGGGTGATGGTTTGAAACTAAAAAAGGGAGATTTAGATTATATATAAGGAAGAAATTGTCTACACTGAGGGTGGTGAGCCCCTGGCCCAGGCTGCCCAGAGAGGTGGTCGCTGCCCCATCCTTGGAACCATTCCAGGGGAGGTTGAATGTGGTGCTGAGCAACCTGCTCTAGTTGCAGATGTCCCTGCAGGGGGATTTGACTAGATAACCTTTAAAGGTCCCTTCCCACCCAAACTATTCCATGATTAACCAACTGGTGTGTTTACCCCAGCTGAAATCACTTTCCACCACCTCTCTCCCCATCCCCTTCCACCAGATTTGAGGCCAAACCTCTTCAAAAATTTGTTGTGGGGGGAGTTCTGCCAGAGATAGAGCAGGGAAGGGCGTAAAGTCAGTTTTGCACTATGTCCCCACAGCAGGGATGTGCCAACAGCACCCCACTGCACACAGAGTGTCATGGGGAGCCCTAGCACCCAGCCAGGGCCAGGACCCCCAGGGAGACCCAGCATGTCCACCCTGCTCAAGAGAAATGAGACTCACCCCTCTCCGCTTCTTCCTGGCTTGTATCTGAGATGTCGTAGTGGGAGACACAGACCTGGAAACATGGCTGGAAAGGAAGAGGAGGGAATAATTTCTTGCACCAGCTGGAGAGGAACCTCCATTGCACATATGCTTTACACACGTTTGCCATCTGCAGTTCCCCCCCTCCAAATAATGTCTTCTGTGGTTCCCAACTCGTTTTTACCCACAACACAGAGCTCAGGAATTAGGGATGGGGAAGCTAACCAGAGATTTGAATCTCACTTTTTCTCCTCCAAGAGTTTCCCACCAGCCTGGGACAGATCTCTGCACCCAACTGCCCATCTTCTACCAGGTACAACATCTCCTTCAGCCTCAGCCCGTGCTGGCATCTCCACGGGGCTGGAAAACCAGCACTCCAAGCTCTGGAGTCGTGGCCTTTTTCCCCTCCGTGGGCGAAGCTGCCAGCTCTCGTGTCTGAGCCTGCCCTGTCTGCAGGGCCGTGTCTCAGCGCTGCGATAGCAGCCGAGCTCCCAGCCGGGGCAGCAGCGAGGGGCTGGCTGCTCCTCGGGGTGAGCCTAACGGCAGCGTTGATGTGGTGTCTGAGAGCTTCCTGCAGAGCTGCTTCACAGACCGCAGCTCTCGGGGTGGGCTGAGAGATTCTGAACGCGCAGACACCCCAAACCAGAGAGAGAGAGAGGCGCCAGGATCCGGGCGGGGAGGACTCAGCAGAAGGTGGTGGAGCAGGAGCCCTGCCCGCTGGCTGGCAGCCCTGGGGACCAGCTCTGCTGAAGGGGCACGGGCTAAGGAGAAGGGCCCCACAAACCATCCTGTGCCTGGTGGGCACGAGCGGGGCTAGAGAAGCCAAAGGTCAGCACTGGACACGCACAAGGAGGCAAAGTTCAACCCTTAGGTCCCCACGGAGCTGAAGGCTCCATAACGATGGACAACCCGGCGTGGGAAACTCCTTGGAGCCCAGCCCCTCAGCTCGGGGAGGGGGTGGCTGGGCCACCTTCCACCTCCCCCAGGCTGGTTTCCTGGGACTGGCTCGGGGCCGTTGCTCCATGTGACCCGGACAACGTCTGGAAATCTGGGGTGTTTGGGTTCACCCCAACTAATCAAAAAGGTGTTCAGTTGAATGAAGCATTTTAATAGCAGCCTATTAAAGGCGACTCTGCACAGACAGTGCTGTCTGTGTGGCAAGCCAGAGCCTAGACCAAACTCAGCCCATTAAAACTACACTTTGTAAGGCCCAAGTGAGGTGCTTTCAGAAGTGGTACGTCTGGAAATCTGGGGTGTTTGGGTTCACCCCAACTAATCAAAAAGGTGTTCAGTTGAATGAAGCATTTTAATAGCAGCCTATTAAAGGCGACTCTGCACAGACAGTGCTGTCTGTGTGGCAAGCCAGAGCCTAGACCAAACTCAGCCCATTAAAACTACACTTTGTAAGGCCCAAGTGAGGTGCTTTCAGAAGTGGTTTTACACAATCAGATGAAATAACACGTTCTGCTACTGACTGCTCTGCTCATCTCCATACAGGTACCCGATTTGAATGTCTGCTGGGGGGGCTTTCTCTGGGCAGAGGTGCTGGCTGGCCCCACAGGTAGGAACACGTGTTGCTGGGATACATCAAGGCACGTACGATGGGCTCGTGTGATGTGGAAATGGGCTCTGCACGGGTGCTGGGGTGCTCATGTGCCAGGGGTAGGTCCTGGATTCACCCATCAGCTCAGGAATGCAGAGTGAGCACTCCAGGAGTCTCTAACTCTGGAGTTTGAAACTCTCTTTGCAGAGCTGTCTGAATCTATTGCTCTTTGTGAGCTGCAGTTCCAGATGTGGATATAAAGACTTAAACTTACTGCAAAATACGTTTTAAAAACGTTTGACAGATTTGAACCACATAAAAGGTACCATAACTACATTCTCCAATGGTTCAAATCTCTGCGTTGGCCTTTGCTCGATTTTATCAATTACAGCATAACTTTGGCTGTTTATTCAAAACAAACAGCAAAAAAAAAAAAACCATGCAGCATCTTGCACTTCTGCAGTGACCCCAGAGCCTAAACTTGCTCCACGCACTGAACTGAGACTCACACCCGCAGTGACTCATCCCCGTGCTGCAGGGGAACTGGTTTGCCCAAACTGGGTACTGGGAACCCCGGCCAGCCAGCCTGGCTGCCTCCCTCTGCCCCAGCCTGGCTGCCTCCCTCTGCCCCAGTCGCTCCCCCTCGCTTCCCACTCGGGAGTGCTTCCTCCTGCCTGATCCACCAGCCTCCCGTGCAGCACTGTGTTCAACCCGTCAGGGCAGGAGTTGCTCTTTGGGCCCTGTATTTGTGTGATATCAGCAACAAGATCCACGTACACAAATCCCAGCAGATCACGGCGCTGCCCGGTTCTGCAGCTGGCTTGAGAAGACAATCATATGAGCAGCACCAGAGAGAGATCAAAAATTCATCGTTACTGTTCACCAAAATAAAATATTATGACAATTTCTCTATTTCACCCATCGGGATAGTGCAGACTGAGCATGCTGCACTGATGTAAAGAGGTATTTCAAGAGGTTGGGAGGTATTTCACATACAGTGGGTGGGTTAAATATTGATGCTCTTGGAAACTGCACAAGGGGTCAGTGAATTTCTGCAGGACGTTACAAGCTGGACTTGCCCGACTCTGCTGTGGCCGTATCAGTGAGAAGCAGCCTCATGAGTTTAGTCCCGTGAGAACCCGAGCTTGGCACCGGGCAGGGTGAATTCTGCACTCAGGACACCAAGCAGCAAAAGGGAATTAATTCATCTGGGGCCTCGCTGGACGTGGAGGGAGGGGGACACTTGGCTAGTGAAACAAGAGTTCAAAAGCAGCTGATTTTTGGAGGAGAACAACTAACAGAGCCCTTCCTTCATCCCCAGCGCTGTCTGCACGCCCGGAGCCTGGGCATGCCCGTGAAGGGCTGACCCAGCACGAGAACCCAGGCTGGGGATGCCCTTTGCCAGCAGAGCCACTGCCCAGGGGAGCATGGCAAAGCCCGAGGAACTGCACAGAGGTCCCGTCCTCGCTATTTCCTCACTATTTCCCAAGCAGCAAAGCCCCAGAGCCGAAGCTGGAGCTCAGCAGTGACGGGATGGAGCCTGTGAACGGCGACACCGAAAGCGCAGGGTCAGAGCTGGGCACCCTTGGCTCGGCCAAGCTGCGTGGGCTCCCTCGCCCATACAGATCAAAGCCCCAGCTGGTGCATGACAAACGCAGCGGCAGAGCGGGAGCGCTTCTCATGCAAAAAGCCTCCTGGTTTCTTCCCCGTTCCCTGGGAGCCCTCGGATCGTGGGACTGCAGCGGCATCCCGGTGCCTTTGCTCCGGAGGGGGGGGAACTGCCCCATGTCGGGGTG